ATCCACAGCTTCTCTGGGCAACCTGTGCCAATRKCTCMCCACCCTMATCACAAAAAGTGTATTCCTTATGCCCCATCTGAWTCTACCCTCKTTCAGTTTAAAAGTTACTCCTTGCYCTGTCAMTACAGTCAGTAGTGGAGTAATAAAGATGCCTACAGAGAAGGGGAATGTTGCCCGTGGAGCTSMTCAGAGGAGCAGCTRTGATGATCTAATCATGACTTCTGTTCAGACCAACAAGGCAGAAATAATGAAAAAAGTCAACTCTAGTTTTTCAAAAGATAACTATTCGTTAAGGCATTCAACTTACCTATGCTTTTTTTTCTTTCTGAGAAGAGAGAAGAGAGTGGGAAGCTCCTTCAGAAGGAGGACTCACAACTGGAGCATACAGTACAACTCCTGCAACAAACAGAACCCCTACAAAGGGTACAGATTTTTTAAAGTGTCATTTAAAACTCTTCAGATTCATGCACAGATTTCTCTTTTAACAGATCATTAATCTCTTTTAACAGATTATGACAATGAAGTGGGCAATTTTTTCGGCAAAACTTTGAGTCCTGGAGAAGCCAGCCTGATACTCGCAGCTTTCTTTTTCATTGGACTTGTTCTGCTGTCAACAGCATTAATCTTCTTCTGCTTCATCACCCACCAAGGAAATAGAATCCATTACACGGCTCTGCATGATAAAAGTGCACTTCTGACAGATTCCCTGTAAATCCCCACTTTTAATATCGTTCACAGGGATAGAGTTATAAAGTCATTAGGGTTGGAAAATACCTCTAAGATCATTGAGTCCAGCYATTAACCTAATACTGCCAGGTGACATGCTGCTAATCAAACTGGAGCAGGCCACATGCTGMCAGTCCTACCTCATGACCAGGGCTCACAAGAGTGAACATGAGCTGTAGGGCTCAGCTCCAGGAGCCACCTTCCACCCATCACCGTTTCCACTTCTCTGGAGTTCAGCTGAGCTTTGTTCAAGATCCAATCTGGCAGCTGAGTAGAGCAGCACACCTCTTGGCATCCACAGGATTTCCATAGAATAAGGAGCAGGTGGCATGGCATCCATGTACTCTGTGCACAAACATGGGGCTCATGCTAGGAAATAAACACTGACAGGGACTGGTTTATGTTCTGAAGGAGCAGGGGCTGATCTCCAAGTCCCTGCAGTTTCCCAAAGTCTGGCTCAATGAATTCACTAATGTTGAAGTGATTCTCCCACTTTTTTTTCCCTGTTAAATGAGGAAACGGTGCACTGAGGTCAGATTTTGAAGACCTGCAAACACATTTTAGTATTTAATGGGTTCAGCAGTGCCCATGCTGTTAGTTTCTAACAGCATTTTTTTATCTCCAAAAACGTAACCCTGAGCAACCTCCAAGAGATAAATYGACTTTTTAACTGCTGCTTGGTATGGTCCTGATTCTGTACCTCTTCTTTGCACTGAGCACSACCTCACTCCCTGCCTGTAATGAAGCCATCAGGAGGCTGATCTTTGTGCTCTGTGAGGCAGACAGACAGAATCAAACTATGTTTAGTGACACTTGAATGTTTATAGCTCATTTTTAGTTAGATTGTGTTCATTCTTGCCTGCTCACACCTGTTCCAGCTCTTGCAGAGGAACTCTGGAACAAACACCTTTGTGAAACTGTTTATACAAATTTGATTTTGAATGTAAATTTAGGTTGCTGGGTTGGTTGTGTTTTTTCTTCATTTTATTTTTTCCACTTCTGTATTTTAAAGTATGTTCAAAGGTAGGAAATTTTACTGTAGCTTAAACATGTCCTGCACTGATGTACAGTCAAACAATATGTTGAAGTTTCTAGGATTTTTCTCAGTTATTTCTTTGTTTTCCTCAGTCATTTAGAAGCACACACATGAAGCAGAAATGCAGAACTGAGCCATAGTAGAATTTACATCACAGCAAGAAACAAAATTTCCTTCTCAAAATCTTCCATTTGCGCTGGCAAAAACAGATGCTCTAAATCCTTTCATCTTCCTGTTCTGTAAATATTAAAATTGGGGTCTCCTGTTCTGTGCAAAAACACTGTCTGTGCAGAACTTTTGTTCTCTGTATACCTATAAAATTAAAGCCTTTCACTGAAACATGTACTATTAAGAAAGGAAATTACTTGGTACTTCCTTCTAGGGTAGCTAATGCRCCCAATGTTTTAGAAACAAAATAATAAATATCTTTTGACTATAGAAACAGGCCCGCCAAAGTGATTACATTTCTAATTTAAAAAAATCCATCTATTTGTACGAACCTTTGGCATGGTTTGTTTCCTCTGGCCTGCTGCTCAGCTGGACGGTGGCTGTGAAAGGCTCCAAAGGGTCCCAGGATGTCATTGTCACTGCTGCCAGRGCAGGTGACACAGCCTGCCACAGAGATCATGAAACATCACAGAAAATGTAAAGCAATGAGTTTACATGGCCTGCCTGGTGCAGGCAGCCCAGTGGCAGCTTTGACACCTGTGTTGAAGGACAGCATCCGTGTTGGGCTGAAGCATCAGCTGAACAGAGTTAAGCAAAAAAAAAAATAAACAGAAGATCAAGTCACCAGAGCAGGCATTTCTCCACAGAGTGTTACAGGCCCTCAAGTATGAAAAATCTGKGTTATAAACTGGGGTACCAGTTGGGAATTGTCCTAGAACTAAAAGCTTGAAGGGTGGGTGACGAATGCAAGGTAAACCTTTAAAAACTTTCCAGAGGACTAAGCAGCTCTGTCAGCCACAAAAYGGGAGCTGGCTGAAACAGTTCTAAAAACAAAACCAGGAAAGTGTCCAAAGGAGCAGAAGAGAAGATGGAAGAATTTGTACTTTATATTTTTCCCAAAGAAAATTGTGCCTTAGGAAGATTTTTGAAGGACTCAGTGCATAGGTAAGAGACATGGATGCATATAGCCTGCTTATATTTKCATAAGAAATTTAAGGTCTTCAGTTAAAGCTTCTTAAGGAAWKRAAWYMMCMWKGG